TGTGATGAGTCCAGCACCTAAGAGGTAAAGGAAAAGAAAAGCGAGGTTTCAAACACCGACCACCCCGCAGACACAGCACATGGAAGAGGGAAGGCCAAGAGCCGGGTGGGGACAACGGGGTCAGAGCAGAGGGGACCTCAAGGAGTGGTTTGTGGAATCAAGAGGGCAGAGCTGGGGGGAGCGAGAGTCTGGAGACTCTAGGAAGAAAGAGACAAACGGAAGCACCTGCCCAGGGGAGTGACAAAGGAGGCAGCCAGCTGCACCCGGAAGGACGGGGCGCGGAGACGAGGGCACGGAGACGAGGGCCGCGGGACGGCAGCGCCGCTGTGATGGGGCACGGAGCAAATGGGAGCTCCTGGCAGTTTTCTCAGCACGACAGGGGACAAAAAACTGGGAAGCCATGGGCGAGGTGGTCTAGGAGGCTGGAGCAGAACGGAGTGAATGCTGGGGCTGGGGGGCGCAGGGGAAAGAGGTGACCCCAGTTGGCCAAATGCCAGCGGGAGCCCTGGTGGCGGGAGGGGACCCCGTGCCGCTGTGACTCTGCCGGGCGTCCTCTGCAGCCAAGAGCACAGGGCCAGAGAGGGGCATCGAGGTGGTGAGGGACCTGGGACCGTATGGAGTGGCACCCACCGGGGCCTCAGTGACCGCTGGATTCGTGCGACAGTGGGCGGGGGGAGAAAGGTGCTTCCGTTTGCAAGATGCTCACAGCTGCTGGACATTCTAGAAAACTCCGCTGGGTGGCGGCCTCTGTATACTCCCTTCCTCCCGCGGCTTGGCGCTCTCGGCCATCTCTGGGATGGTTTCCCGGCCTCCTTCCCGCCTCCTCCAGGCGCAGACGCCAGCCCGCGGCCCAGCTCTCACCGTACTGCAGGGCTGTTTCCACCCTGGCGCTCCTTCCCTCTCCCGCCCTCAGCCGTCCCCTCCACGGAGGCCTGAACTTGGTCTTCCCCTGAATCCCCGGGTCTGGAACGTTGGATCCCCAAACACAGCGGCGTCATCGAATGAATCGTGCTGCGTTTATTGCTTGGAGGTTCAGGAAGTACCTTCATCTGCCGCAGAAAGATAAAGATCAGAGGGTCTGAGTGCACCCCTTCCTTGTGCGGACGAAGAAGCCGAAGCCCAGAGAGGCCGCCTTTGTTTCTTCTTTCTCAGGCCTCCCAGCGCCGCGTGTCACGTTCCGTGTCTCTGCTGCTTCTAACCAGGGACTGTTCCCTTCGGCACGTGGCGGAGCGCGGTGGGAATCTAAACAGGCTTGGGCAGGACCACCGGCGCTGGGGTGTGGGGGGGGTAGACAGTGCCAGAACCACGAGCCAGAAAGGCCGCTTGAAGCGCAAAACCGCCCCAGAGGCAGATGTAAGAAGTACCAGCTAGACGCGGCACGTGCACACGAGGGACCCGATGGGAAGGTGGCAGACGCCCTGGGATGTCAGAGTCCCAGAGGGATAAGCCGCTTGTCTGTGCGTGTGACGGTTAAATAAAGGGTCGGGAATGGTTGCTGCGTGTCTGCCGTTCTGTACAGTAGTTTGTGTTGGTTTAACGTGTCACTCGCTGCTCCGTTTACGGCTATTTCACGTAATCCAGAGATTTCTACAAGCAAGGGTGCGGTTGGATTCATCAAGGCTTTTTGTCTACAGCCCTAACTCCACGATCCCTCAAAACATAAACGTAACCACATGCTGTGTCTTTACGTTTCATTCTCCTAGTTTAAAATTTTTTTAATGTTTATTTATTTTTGAGAGAGAGAGAGCGTGCATGCGTGCGTGCACGTGAGCGGGGGAGGGGCAGAGAGGGAGACACAGAATCCGAAGCAGGCTCCAGGCTCTGAGCCATCAGCACAGAGCCCGACGCAGGGCTCGAACCCACGAACTGTGAGATCGCTTAACCGACTGAGCCATCCAGGCGCCCTGGTCTTAATTTTTTTTTTTTTAAGTCTCTTGAACGTGAACTATCTCGTGCCCTACTTATTAAACCGACTAAAATAAATATTTAAAGTTACGTTTCTAAGTCTTAGCCTAGCCGTGTGACTTTATTTGCTGCTTTTTTTTTTTTAGCTGGATCACGTTCTAATGGTTCCAAGTTAGTAACTGCACTGTACATGTTGTGGGTGGCTGGACGAAGAAGATAGAATTTGCATTTTGGATTCACTGTCTCAGTCGGCTCAGGGTGCTATTCCAAGAATGCCATAGGCCGGGGGGCTTAGACTGGGGGGCGCTTAACCAACAGACATTCCTCTCCCACGGCTCTGGAGGCTGGGGGTCCAGGGTCCACGGGCCTGCGGGTGCGGTGTCTGGTGAGAGCCCTGCCCCTCGTTCACAGACAGACGCTGACTTGGGTCTGTCCCCGCGTGGGGGAGAGCAGGAAGACCACCTCTGCGGTGTCTCTTCCTACAGGGGCACGAATCCCATCCGGGGCCCCAGCCTCGTGACCTCATCACCCTCCAAAGGCCACCACACTGGGAATTTAGGCTGCGGCATGTGAATTCTGGGGGGAACACAAACATTCACTGCATGCCGTTCACTTCGGCCGAGAGATAAATTTCAAGAAATAAATCCTGTCTCTTAATCCACCTATGAGGACACAAGACGCAATCAAAGACTCGGCGTGATGCCTGAAAGAAGCAGGGAGGTGGCCTGTCCCGCTCCCAGCGTGCCACCGCCCGGCTGTGATGGAGTGTCACCGAGGTTTATGCGACCCGCCCCACCCCCTCTAGCCGGAAGTAGTAAATCACCCAAAAGTCCCACGGAAGAAGATAAGGCACCCAGCACGGGTGGGTAGAGAACATTCCGTCCCTTTAATTGGGGAAATGGGACGCTTTGAATCGGGAAACCCTTAGGGAGGCACCTGCTCAGAGGTTTCTCTTCCTCAGATGAGGAGGGGATACGGATCCGGGGGCGGGGGGGCCCTGCTAAGACCCCAGTTCGTCAGCCGCTTGGACGTGCTAACACGGCTGTGGTCAGGATGCAACTCCTCTGGCTGGAATGTGGTGGTGGCTGATGTCATGTAACTGCTTACTCAGCACCACTCCCCACATTTATACGGGAAAGAAATGATGGCCCGGACGGTGAGGTCACGGTGAGGTCATGGCAAAGCTAGCAAGTTCAGCCTGGCCCTGTTTTAGGTCTTCCACACCACGTGGGGAAAAACCGCGCAGCTGCGCTCTGCCTCGGTTTCCCCACCTGAGAAGCGAATTCCTTTCTTCTGCATTTACTTTTTTTTAAAGGCTTGCAATGCACAGCACACGTGACCCACGGAAAACACTATGTTTTCCAATCAGATTACGAGGTCCTTAGCACAACGTGAATGTGGAGATATCTGGAGATACCGCGGTCTCCAGCTAAGAACGCTTAATGATAAATAACTTCCGCAATAAGAAGACGCAGACAACAGGGGCGCCTGAGTGGCGCAGTCGGTTAAGCGTCCGACTTCAGCCAGGTCACGATCTCGCAGTCCGTGAGTTCGAGCCCCGCGTCGGGCTCTGGGCTGATGGCTCAGAGCCTGGAGCCTGTTTCCGATTCTGTGTCTCTCTCTCTCTCTGCCCCTCCCCTGTTCATGCTGTCTCTCTCTGTCCCAAAAATAAATAAACGTTGAAAAAAAA